CTGCTCAGCGGGGAGTCTGCTTCTCCCTCTGACCCTCCCCCCTCTCATGCTCTCTCTATCTCATTCCCTCTCTCAAATAAATAAATAAAATCTTTAAAAAAAAAATTAAAAATAGAATTACCATATGATCCAGTAATTCTTCTTAGCCAAAGAAAAGAAAAACACTAATTTGAAAAGATATATGCACACCCTACACTCTATGTTTACTACAGCATTATTTACAATAGCCAAGATATGGATGAAACCCAAATGTCCATCCATAGTTGAGTGAAGAAGATGTGGTATGTGTGTGTACACACATATAACGCAATATTACTTAGCCCTAAAAAAGAATGAGATTTTGCCATTTGCAACAACATGGATGGACCCAGAGAATATAAAGCTAAGTGAAAAAAAGTCCGTCAGAGAAAGACAAATACCATATGATTTCACTCATATGTGGAATTTAAGATAAAAAATAGAGGAACAAAAAAAAGGCAATCAAAAAAACAGATTCTTAAATACAGAAAAACTGGTGGTTACCAAGGGAAGACTGGTGGGGGGAGGAGTGAAATAAAGGAGATAAGAGTACACTTATCTTGATGACCAGAGTAACACACAGAATTGTTGAATCCTTATACTGTATTCCTGAAACTCACATATAACACTGCGTATTAATTTTACTTAAATATGGACATTTCTAAAGAAGAGTAAACTTAACAAAGGAGGTGCCTTTAATGCCAGAAACTACAAAAGGTAGCTGAAAGAAATTAAGGAATACACAAATAGAAAGATGGCATCCCATGTTCATGAGTTGGAAGATTCAATATTGTTATGATGTTAATACCACTGAAAGCAATCTACAAATTCAAAGCAATCCCTATTAAAATCCTAATGACATTTTTGCAGAAATAGAAAAATCCATCCTAAAATTCATATGGAATCTCAAGGGATTCTGAATAGTCACCATAATCTTGAAAAAGAACAAAGTTGGAGGTCTCACATTTCCTTATTTAAAAACTTACTAAAAGCTACAATAATCAAAACAGTATGGTACTGGTATGAAGACAGACATGCAGATCAATGAAATAGCCCAGAAATAAACCCTCACAGTTATGTTCAAATGATTTTCTTTTTTTTTTTTTAAAGATTTTATTTATTTATTTGAGAGAGAGAGAGCACAAGAGGAGGGAGGGTCAGAGGGAGAAGCAGACTCCTTGCTAAGCAGGGAGCCCAATGTGGGACTCGATCCCAGGACTCCAGGATCATGATCTGAGCTGAAGGCAGTCGCTTAGCCAACTGAGCCACCCAGGCGCCCTCAAATGATTTTCAATAAGGGTGCCAAGACCATTCACTGGGGGGGAAAAAGCAGTCTTTCCAACAAATGGTGCTGGGACAACTGGATATCCACATGCAAAAGGATAAAGTTGGACCCTTGCCTAAACCATATACAAAAGTTATCTCGGGGTGCCTGGGTGGCTCAGTCAGTTAAGCAACTGCCTTTGGCTCAGGTCATGATCCCAGGACCCGGGGATCAAGCCCCATGTCGGGCTCCCTGCTCAGTAGGGAGTCGGCTTCTCCCTCTGCCCCTCCCCCTGCTTGTGCACTCATGCTCTCTCTCTCTCAAATAAAATCTTTTCAAAAAAATTATCTCAAATTATCAAAGACCTAAATGTAAGAGCTAAACCTATGAAACTCTTATTAGAAAACATAGGAGAAAAGTTTCATGACACTGGATTTGACAAAGATTTCTTGGCTGTAACACCAAATGTACAGGGAACAAATAAAAAATAGGTAAGTTGGAATCCATCAAAATTAAAATCTTTTGTGCATCAAAGGACACTGTCAACAGAGAAAAGGCTACCCATAGAATGGGAAAAAGTATTTGCAAATTATATATCTGACGAGGGATTAGTATCCAGGATAAAAAAAAAGACTCCTACTACAACAAAAACAATCCCATTAAAAAATTGAAAAGGACTTAAATAGACATTTCTCCAGAAAAGATATACAAGAGGCCAACAGCACATGGAAACATGTTCAACCTCACTCATCACTAGGTATGAGATAACAGAAAATACATATATGGGTCTCTGCACCTGGTTCCCCATTTAGAACTCCTAAAACCCTTATAACTTCTAAGTGATAAGAGCATAAGGAGTGTCTCTTATTCTAATATTTGGTCTTTAACCTTGTACCTGATACAGGGCTCCTAAATACCTTGTTATTTCCTAAGTGATAACAGCATTAGGAGTATCTTTTGCCCTAATGAGGCAACTCTGGGTGGGCTCCTAGATGGGGGCTGGTCACCGAATAGCTAAGCCATAATTAGATGTTGGAATTTTCAGCCCCACCCTTCATCCTCCAGAGAGGGAAGTGAGGCTGGAAATGGAGTTAATGACTGATCTTGCCTAAGTGATGAAGCCTCCATAAAAATCCCAAAAGTAGGTAGGAGATTCACAGAGCTTCCAGGTAGGTTAACACATCCAGGTACCAGTCAGGTGACACATCCCAACTCCAAAAGGACAGAAGCTCCTGCACTCAGGACCTTCCCAGAGCTCACCTTACATATCTCTTCATTTGGCTATTCACCTGTATCTTTTATCATATCCTTTAATAAACTGGTAAATGTTAGTAACTGTTTTCCTGAGGTCTGTGAGCTGCTGTAGCAAATTAACTGAACCCAAGGTTATAGCCAATCAGTGAGAAGCACAGGTGACAACCTAAACTTACAATTGGCATCTGAAGTGGGGTAGGGGGAGTCTTGTAGGATTGAACCCTTAACCTGTGGGATCTGACACTATCTCCAGGTGTCAGAATTGAGTTAAATTATAGGACACCCAGCTGGTGTTGCAGAGAATTGTTTGTTGTGGGAAAAAAATCTCCACATATTTGGTGCCCAGAAATGTCAAAAGTAAAGTGTTCTGTGTAAAAGTAAAGGAGGCACACAGGAGAGGAGAACAGTAGGTTTCCCAATATAGTAGTGAAATGCCAATCAAAACCACGATGGAAGGGCACCTCGGTGGCTCAGCTGGGCATCTGCCTTCAGCTCAGGTCATGATATCAGGGTCCTGGGATCAAGCCCAACATCGGGCTCCCTGTTCAGTGGGGAGTCTGCTTCTCCCTCTCCCTCTGTCCCTCCCCACTGCTGGTGCTCTCTTGCTCTCTCAAATAAATAAATAAAATATTTAAACAAACACAATGGAATACCACTTCACACCCATTAGGGTGGCTATTATTCCAAAAATAAAAAAGGAAATAACAAATGTTGGTAAGGATGAAATGGGAACCCTGTGCACTGCTGATGGGAATGTAAAATGATGCAGCCACTGTAGAAAACGGTATGGCGATTCCTCGAAAAATCATACATAGAATTACCACATGATCGAGCAATTACACTTCCAGATATGTATGCAAAAGAATTCAAAGCAGGAACTCAAACAGGTATCTGTACTCCCATGTTCATAGCAACATTATTCACAATAGCCAAAAGGTGGAAGCAACCCAAGTGTCCGTTAATGGATGAGTGGCTAACCAAATTTTCATGTGTACATACAATGGAATATTATTCAGCCTTAGAAAGGAAGGAAATTCTAACACACGCTACAACATAGATGAACCTTGAAGGCACTATGCTAAGCAAAATAAACCAGTCACAAAAGTAAAAATAGAGTGTTAAGATTCCACTTATATGAGGTACCTAAAATAGTCAAATTCATAGACACAGAGAGTAACATGGTGGTTGCCAGGAGCTGGCGGGAGGGAATATGGGGGATTAATGTTTAATGGATACGGAGTTCCAGTTTGGGAAAATAAAGAAGTTCTGAAGATGGATAATGATGATGGTTGCACAATGTGAATATACTTAGAGCCACTGAACTGTACACTTAAAAATGGTTAAAATGGTATATTTTGCTATGCATACTTTGCTATAATAAAAATATATAGAGAGAGCACACTAAAACAATCTCCCAAGTGTTGTGAGACTGAAGACCTATGTAGAAAAGCTTTGTAATCTATACAGCCCTTCACAAATACTAGCTCTTTTTAATCATTATCACCCTGTTTACCCCAACCTGATACCATTATCCACATGTTCTGTCCAGCCATGTTCACCCAGCAGCACACTGTTGGAGTGTAAGTGTGGTACAGTGATAGCCACCTTCGTTTTGCTAAACCCTGGATTTCACGTGTCACTGCAACAGTCTCCCAGAGTTCTGGTCCTGAAACAGAACAAGCCCCCCAAAAGACATAAGTTTTAGACAAGTCTGATTGGAGTCTCGAGAAAAAACTCAGAGACTTCCTCCTCTTACCCAGTTTTCCCCAATGCTTGGTTTGGAAGCAGTCCTCATTCAGCAGCAAGAGGTCACCATGCCATTGCCAAGAACAAGGAAAATCTTCCTCCAATTCAGCTGACCAACTAACTCCCTGGCCTGCTACCACGCAATGTATCTCATAAGACAGCCCTTGAGCAGGTGAACAATCGGGAACCTTCCGGATTCTAGGAAACAAATATAGGAAATGTATTCGTTGAGCATGAATTGAGAATAGAAGTACTTAGATAAGAAATAAAAAATGAGGGGCACCTGGGTGGCTCAGTTGGTTGTCTGCCTTTGTCTCAGGTCATGATCCCAGAGTCCTGGGATCGAGCCCCACGTCGGTCTCCCTGATCAGAGGGGAGTCTGCTTGTCCCTCTTCCTCTGCCCCTGCTCTCTCTCGCTCACTCTCTCTCAAATAAATAAAATCTTTAAAAAAAAAAGAAAAAATGAAAATGCTAAAATCAAAAGACCAGAATGACCAGCTTTGATGGACTGCACAATTCTCGATATTGTAGCCTCAGAGCTGAACCCTCAAATACTCACAGAAAGTATAAATATTGCTGCAGAACAGGTATGATAATGCAGTAGTGCAAAACTTAGGAATGTTTCTTTCTGGAAAGCAAGCCAATTGGAACCTACATCCAGATACTGACCAGGATCTGTGTCAGCATTCAGGTGCTCTCTGAGAGCCCCAAGTTTCCTTAGCTATAACAGGTGCTGCTCATTGAGAATTTCTCCAAACATGGATAATGCTACAGTGCCATCTGGAATCTTCTTCATGCAGTGATGTATATCCAGGGGTTGCTGCCTTTGCAGATAGTCCCTGGAGACCAATGAGGGCTTTTATTCCATGGCTCTTTGAGGAACTTAAAATGTAGATCAAACATGAAGTAGTACTTACCCCAGCCTTGGAAGTTTGACCTTCTATGGCCAAGTCTCTGTGCCCTCACAATCTTGAATGTCTTTGCTTGCTTCATTTATACCTTATCCAAGATTCTTAGTATCATCAACCAGACTAAGTAACAACTGTTTTCCACAGAACTTTCTGCCAGTGCCCCACAAATCTTGACTGTGGTTTCCCAAATTCTTTGATTCTCCACAACGCACCCTTTCTCTTCTGTACAATTCCCCCAAATAACACTTATTCTAAATATAGTCCCACTTGTGTAGAAATGCATCTTTCCTAGTTTTCCCCCCACCTCTGCATACTGCACCTATGTTGTTGTGTTAACTGAGGTTCAGTCATAACACCTACAACAACAGCATCAGACGCCCTATCTTCTGTCTTCATTTTGTTATAACCTATAGGCTAAAGATACGTATCACTCCAAGATTGCTGCAGTGAAGGAAAACGACTCTGAGGGACAAGAGGCACTGAGGCAGGAGTCACTAGCACGGGGCCTATAAATGAAACCCAAATATACAAAAGCTTACGAAACATTCCCTGCACACACCTCCTCTTTTATAACCAGTAGAGTAAGGTTGGTTGAAGAGAACCAACAATCCATTCTCTACAAATGACCGATGACAGCACAACAAGCCCCTGGTTATAGGTGCCTCGACCTATTCTTGGGTGGTTCATTGTTATAAGCCACCAGCCTAGGGTCACCAAGTCAGATGCTCTAAGTTCTTTTCCAAAAATGGTAATAAAACATGTTGAGTCACTCATATTCCCTCAGTTATACTGGGAGGCAACAGCTACAGCAGTTAAACATTCAGTCTCCGAGCCAAAGCAATCTGAGTTCAAATCATGCTTTAGCCGCTTGTTGAGTACCAGCAGTCAATGATCTTTTCTGAGAATCCCGTAGCGACGCCCTCCGCCAGCTCGCTCCCTCACCACCAAACGCATGGAGCCCAGGGGCTACACAAGAGCAGACAGGGGTCTGTTCTCCCTTTACCTCTCCATCTCCTCGGCTATGGTGACGCCTTGAATTTGAGCCCTCCGCAGTCTTTCATTCCCTAGACTGCCACAACTCTCTCTCCTCATGTTGCTTGGTACACTCCAGCTTTCACAAACAGGCACGCTGCTGGGGCGGGACCAAGCACTTCCCCTCCCCAACAGGGCGGAACTAAAATGAAAGGGCCAAGGTTGTTAGCGAATGACTTCCCTATTACCATGGTAAAGCGGCTGCCGCCATCTTTATTGTGATCGATGATTCCTCGTGTTGGTCTAAGAAAAAATGAATAATAAGGGATTCTACAGACTAAAATCCTGCAAGTTAGTCTGGCGCGGCCCTACTCTAGGTCGGAACGGAGTTCTCTTCCGGCCGCAGCCCAGCCCGGAGTGGTTAGCTCTTGGGGACCGAGCGTGCGCCGGCTGCTGACGTAATGACGCCAGGGGAGGGGCCATGTGTACGCCCCGCCCAGGTGCTTCCGGCTTACGCGCCGTGCGGAAGCGTGTTTAGCGCAGAGCTCACGCGCCGTACGGAAGTGTGCTCTGGCGCACCGGAAGCTGCCGGAAGAGAGCGATGGCGGGTTTGACTGTGAGAGACCCTGCGGTGGATCGTTCTCTGCGTTCGGTGTTCGGTGAGACGAATTCGTGGAGCCAAGCATCCGGGAGGGACAGAAAGAGACAGGGAGCAGCAAGGAATGCCCCCTGCACCTCTTGAATTGTTGCAGGAGCTGGTGATGGGTCGGGCTTGCAGCTCTACCTGCCTATCCTTTGGGGCGGCCAATCTAGTGGACTCGCGGGCAAAGTGATGCTCTCTTCCCCTGAGGTCTCAAAGCCTTTCCATGATGTGGCTGAGGAAGTTAAACTAGCGTTCAGCTTCTATGCGTTTCTCCTTTTATGAGCTTCAATTATTGTTTGGAATCGAGGGCGCATGGCAACTGTCCCGTACTACTTCTCACTCCCTATCCCAGAATACAGATTATATGCTGAGTGTATAGAACTATATGTCCACTTCCCGCCCTCTCAAAAGGACTTTCATCCTCTGCTTTTTACCGTAACATTTTAGTTCGATACTGGTAGCGGCCACCTGGAGTCTTAAAGTGGATTGTAAATGAATGAATGAACGAATGATTAAGATCTCGTCGAAGAAATTTTAAAGAGGATCAGGTCTATTCTGAGTAATCTTTTCAGATGAAATAAGTTTCTTTTAAGTACGTGTGGTGATTTTAAAGCACCTTTTGGAAAGAACATAACAAAACAGATTAGAATAATTTTTAAACATCCTCCACTACATTCATGGTTATTCTTGAGTGTGTGTGTATGTGTGGAAATACGGACATAATGTGCCAGTTTTTAAAATACCAAATACATTGGTATTTTTAGTAGTTATCGATAAGACTTGCAGATCTTCAGGTAAATACCAGTGCGAAGGTATTTATTTTCACCGAAGTTAAGGAAAATCATAACACTTGTCAGATAAGTCTGAGAACTTTTAGAAGTGCCTATACCTTTTATATTTTAGTCTTAGTGGTTTATTTGTTTTGTAATTAAAGTCAGCAGACAAGATTGAAATGTCTGAAATACCATGGAACTGGGATTGTAGGAACACTGTTTTGAGGTAGTTGTTACATTTTCAATGATATAAGTTCTGATTCTGTTTACTTTCTCACAAGGGAAATAGGTTACAAACTCAAGAGTTTTAATATATTGTCTATTTTCTTTCATAGTGGGGAACATTCCATATGAGGCTACTGAAGAGCAATTAAAGGACATCTTTTCTGAGGTTGGACCTGTTGTTAGTTTCAGGTGAGATTCTCCTTTGACTACTTGGGGTTTTCTTTAAAATCACAAATTTGGCCCTTAGTAATAATAGCAAGGTTTTTACTGGTGACTTTTCACATGCATCCTTCTGTTTGTAACAGCTTTATTCAGGTATAATTCACATACCATACAACTGACATTTATTTTTACTAAAAGATACTTTTTTTTCATTTAAAAATGTTTAAAAAAATATTTCAGTGAAGCAGTCAGTTATAACGTTATTTGTCTTACAGTGGACCAAATTAGAACATGGCCATGTTAGCAGGAACACTATATGTGTGTAACATTTGTGCCTGATACTTGGTTCTGCTCTTCCAGGTTGGTATATGATAGGGAGACAGGAAAACCAAAGGGTTATGGCTTCTGTGAATACCAAGACCAGGAGACAGCACTTAGTGCCATGCGAAACCTGAATGGGCGTGAGTTCAGCGGGAGAGCACTCCGAGTGGACAATGCTGCCAGTGAAAAGAACAAAGAAGAACTGAAGAGTGAGTATGAACCTGATTTGTACGCAACATGAATTAGTAAAGATGTAACAATGAAGATTTTTCCATTTGTGATATGTTTTAGCACTCGCTGAAATGGTTAGCCTCGTAGCTTCTTGACCCACTTTAGGCGCCTGCATTAGGGAAGTGTATATCTTTGAGAAACAAGGTAAAGTTGACTTTAGAAGTCCTTCAGTTGTGAAGGAGTTGGTTGACAGTTGAAGATGAATTCAGGCTCACCAAGTCATTAGTTGCACTATGTCATTAGTTTACCACTGCTGTAACGGTTTGTCAGATCTGTAATTGGTGGGATTACTAAGGCATTCTGGCTTCTTTCACGAGGCAACAGATCAGGGATTCCATTTTGAAATTAGCATCTTTTTCTATTCTTTTGCTTTTAAAAATTAGCATCTTTATTATTTCTCTTCTGAAATGACTTGTCAGAGGAAATCGATATGCCTCATCCCTAATTCAGGTTAACATTGTCCACCTATGTAATCCTAGTCCCAGCTTTCTTCTGAGAGCAGAAAATACACTCTTGTCACTTTCCTCTGCAGAAATAAGGACTTGCAAATCACTTACTTCTCAGTTCCAGAGAATTTAAAGTTACAACGGGTCCTGGAAAGGAAGCAGCCCTGGAAAGTAAATACTTGAAATGATTTAGCTCATAATTTTGCCTCCTTAACTTTTTGTACTTTCTTCCCGATCAGGCCTTGGCACTGGTGCCCCTGTCATTGAGTCACCTTATGGAGAGACCATCAGTCCTGAGGATGCCCCTGAGTCCATTAGCAAAGCAGTTGCCAGTCTTCCACCAGAGCAGATGTTTGAGCTGATGAAACAAATGAAGGTGGGAGGAGGCATTAGGTTAAGAACAAATCAAATCACATCAAATTTTCGAGGAGCTAATTGATCGAGTGAATGGAAATAATTCCCTGAGCTCAAATATAAGGTGTGCCTGTTGACCACCACTTCTTGCACCTTCGATATGCCATATGTGCACAGCATATTTTACATTTCGTACAAAGAGCTTTCCATTTTTTGTACACAGACACAACTATACAATCTGGCTTTTTGTGACCCATAGATATCAGATGTAGATATTCAAATGTGGCTTTTCTCCTAAATGGTGGTATTATGGTATTTGAAATGCCTCTTCCTTCTCTTGCCTGACATGACCAAAATTTTGTGTGCTATGCCAAAACCGATGATAGCTTAAAAAGCTTCTTGAATATTATATTTCTCAGATGGGAATGGCTCTAAATCGCTATTAATTTCTAAGTACTAAGTATTGAACCTGATGATGAATCTATTTATCTTCTCAGCTCTGTGTCCAGAATAGTCCCCAGGAAGCACGGAACATGTTGCTTCAGAACCCTCAGCTGGCTTATGCTTTGCTACAAGCACAGGTAGTGATGAGAATTGTGGATCCAGAGATTGCCCTGGTGAGTGCTTCTTATTCTTTTATGGAAACGCCACGGTAAACCTTGAGTGGGGTAGGAACTGCCTGATTGCTTTGTTAAGCAGACAGCTCATAGATTTGTCTTTTCGTTTTTTAGAAAATTCTGCATCGCCAGACAAATATCCCAACGCTGATTGCAGGCAACCCTCAGCCAGTCCACAGTGCTGGGCCTGGCTCAGGATCCACTGTGTCAATGAACCAGCAGAATCCTCAGGCCCCTCAGGCCCAGTCTTTGGTAGGGCTTTATCTCCTAACGTTTCTTTTACGTGTTTTGAATGCCATTTTCATGTTAAGAAGATAATACTGAGAGAAGAACAGTCAGGAGCTGAAGATGATAATTTCAATTCCCGGACATAAAAGCAATTTTCAGTTTGCAGAGTACATGGCATCTGTGCCAAGTTTGTGAAACAAAGAGATCCTTCCTGTGTGTCCTTTTATATAGGCTAATTTGATATTTATGTGCATGTGTGGTACTATGGTTGGCACTTTGTTATTCTACATCCATTATCTCATTTAGTACTTAGACTCTAATTGAATGAGGTTGGCACTCTTACTATCTCTTTACCAGTGGTAAAAAGTAAAGCTTGCTTGCCAAGAATGACCAAAAACTGAAGCCATAAGAAATCAGTACATTTGAAAACTGAAAAATTTCTGTATAGAGAAAAAGAAAGAAACTGTAAAGACAAATGACAAATTGGGAAAAACTGTTTGCCACACACATGACGGACAACAGGCTGATTAAGAGTTCTTAGTCATGTTCAAGAATGTTTATTGCCACATTATAATAGTGAAACATTGAAACATCCTAAATGTAAATCAGTGGAAGAATGGGGAAAATGTTGTATATTTATCCAGTGAAATACTCTATAACAGTTAAATAAATTGCACAGGTCACCATGAATGACTTTCAAAAACCTAATTCCATGTAGTAGTAAAGATGAACTAGGATACATGGTATTAACACAGATAACTCAAAAGTTACAAAAGTGAAAATAAGTGACTGTGGAAGCCTTCCCAAAATATGGGATGTATGTGTTTGCACATATCCCAAAACCATGTTGAATGAGTTGCAAATATGTCTAGTACATAATGATTTACATACAATTTCAAAACATCTGTAAAAATTCTTAAGTGCTTGTCTTAAGAAGGGGACACAGGATGCAATTGGGGAAGACCATAAGGCAGATTTCAAATATATATATTTATTTCCTAAACTGTATATTTATTTTATTTTCTATGCAATTTATATATCTGGAATTTTTCATAAGAAAAGTGTTCGACCTCAAAATAAGGTAAACATAAACAGAAAGAACAGTAATCTACCATTTTTTACCATTCAGATTGGGAGAGGTAAAGAACTTGAAGTCAACCATAGGTGCCACATATGGCCTCACAACACAGATCAGACTTGTCAGTCTCTGCTTTTAGAATATGGTCCATCTTAATTGTGTTCTATATAACCAGGCTCATCATGTGTATTGTCCAGAGGCAAATACATACTCTGTTTTTTCTTTTGGTTAGGGTGGAATGCATGTCAATGGTGCACCTCCTCTGATGCAAGCTTCTATGCAGGCTGGAGTTCCAGCTCCAGGGCAGATACCAGCAGCTGTAACAGGACCTGGTCCTGGTTCCTTAGCTCCTGGAGGTATGTTTCAGTTACAGTCTTCACCATTTTGATATTTTACTAAAGTTTTGTTGTAGCAAATGTTCTAATGTTGCCAAGTTATTATGTGGTAATGAGATATTTATATAAAATTAATACACAGCTAGGAAACATATATCCTAGGTGGAGGAAATAGTTGATCTCTTATATACAGAGAGCAGGGAAAAGGACCACAAAATGGAAAAGTATGGTAACACTTCCAAATTAACAAGGGGGAAATGGAATGAATGGAAACTAGCCAACAAAGCCAGCAAATAGAGGGAAAAGAAAACAACATTGTGGAAGTAAGTAATAATAAACATAGAGTAAGAAGGAAGGAATAAAATCTCATACAGTCGTTATTCTGCTAAATGTGAATGGACTGAATTTTCCCACTAAAAGCCAGAGACTTAGATTAGGTTAAAAGGCACATTAAAAAAAAAAAACAGACACAAAATACAGAGTCACATTTGTTATTATTATATTTAACAGATACGAAATTGCATTTCACTAAATATAATCAGACCAAACAACAAAAGGAAAAAAGAATTTTTAAAACTGTATATTTTGGGGCACCTGGGTGGCTCAGTTGGTTAAGCAACTGCCTTCGGCTCAGGTCATGATCCTGGAGTCCCAGGATCGAGTCCCGCATTGGGCTCCTTGCTCAGCAGGGAGTCTTCTTCTCCCTCTGACCCTCTCATGCTCTATCTCATTCTCTCTCTCAAATAAATAAATAAAATTTAAAAAAAAACTGTGTATTTTGATTGAAAGTGTGTATATAGAAATTACTACTGAGTATTGCTATTATGCTTGTAGCTTTTTATCATTCAACAATCATAACTAAAAAAGTTATGAGTGAAATAGTGGTTCCCTATATGAAACTCCTATATGAACACATGATATATATCCATATTTAAAGTTTTTTATGCAACATATTTGCCTCTTGTTAATTTATCTAATCTGGGTTAGATTGACTACAACACTACTCATAGAGCATAATTGAATCTAAATTGTTCTGTTTTGTAGAGAAACTGGTCTACAGAGCAAGTTGACAAGGAATAGAGGAAGGGATTTTATTTTATTTTTTTTTAAAGATTTTATTTATTTATTTGACAGAGAGATAATGAGAGCAGGAACACAAGCAGAAGGAGTGGGAGAGGGAGAAGCAGGCTTCCCACCAAGCAGGGAGCCCGATGTGGGGCTCGATCCCAGGACCCTGGGATCATGGCCTGAGCTGACGGCAGATGCTTGACAACTGAGCCACCCAGTCGCCCCTAGAGGAAGGGATTTTAAAAGAAATTTCAGCAAACTCATGATTTTCATTTATCTATAGAGTAAATATCTTTCAGTGAAAGAAACGGATTCTGTATTTTATACATTTTTGAGTCATGGGTGCCTAACTTACCTTAAAATATCACAAGTTGAAATGTGGCCCTACTACACATGACCAAGTATGCAACCCATGACATAGGCAGCTCATAACATGAGCTGAAAAACACCCAAAGTTGTCTGTATCCTGTTCAGTGACAGAAGTGCCCTGATCATGCACTTGAATGTGACAGGAGTGTCAAATTGCTGTAAAAGTTTCTAAGTGTCTGCTCTCCATTTCTGTACTTGTCCTGAATTGTTAACATACAGTGTGTGGATCAACGTTGTCTGTGGACCACACTTTGAGTACCTTTGTACTAATAGACAAGTAAAGATATTGAGGAATAAAGTAGTGGAACCAATAAGCACGATTTATTATGGGAGATTTATGTCTTTTGACTGAAGAATACACTTTCGCCCCCAAATGACCATGGAACAGTTAAAAAAAAAAAACAAAAAAACACATACTTGGCCATAAAATAAAAACAAGTTTAAAAAGTAGAGATTTTACAGGCCGCATTCTCTTAATATAAGCCAATAAAATTAGAAGTAATTTTATTGTAATAAAATTTACAGTAATAAGTTACTGAAAATAACCTTTACTTGGAAAAATAAGGAACATACACTAGGTAATCCTTGAATTAAAGAGAAAATAAAAAGGAGATTTATAAATTACCCAAAAGACAACAAAAAGTGTATCTTATACAAAAAAGTATGGGAAATAGTGAAGGCAGTACTTAAAATGAATATCTTCAAATGCCTGTGTTATTAAGGAATAAAGGACCTCTACTAGTTTTAAAGAATTAAGAAAATAATTTTTTAAAGAAACAAGAGATCGGGCGCCTGGGTGGCTCAGTTGGTTAAGCAACTGCCTTCGGCTCAGGTCATGATCCCGGAGTCCTGGGATCAAGTCCCACATCGGGCTCCCGGCTCGGCGGGGAGCCTGCTTCTCCCTCTGACCCTATCCCCTCTCATGCTGTTTCTCTCTCTCTCTCTCAAATAAATAAACAAAAATCTTAAAAAAAAAAAAAAAAAGAAACAAGAGACCAAAAAGAGGAAATTAATAAATACAGAAGTTGAAAGTAAATGGGAAAGGAACTTAAATTACTGAATTTTCAAGTGGTATTTTTTGTGAGTTTGTAGCATTTCTATTTCTGAAGTTATTAAAACATCACTCAGATTTTTTTTTTTTAAAGATTTTATTTATTTTTTGACAGAGAGACAGCGAGAGAGGGAACACAAGCAGGGGAGTGGGAGAGGGAGAAGCAGGCTTCCCGCTGAGCAAGGAGCCCGACGTGGGGCTTGATCCCAGGACCCTGGGATCATGACCTGAGCCGAAGGCAGACGCTTAACGACAGCCACCCAGGCGCCCCCATCACTCAGATTTTTGAAATACCCTGTACAAAACTCCATTGACAGTTGGTGAGAAGGGGAAACAACCTAGTAGAAAAGGAGGCAAAGAAAATGAGTAGGCACTTAATAGAAGAGCAAATCCAAATGGCAACAAAAACAAATGCATTTGTAGTCATGGGATTGCAAATTAAATTACAATATTTCACTTTACTTAAACCCATCAGACGAACCAAAGTCTCAAAGAGAGATGACACTATTGGTGGGGAAAGTGGGGATCATAAATTGCCAGGAGAAATGTGAAGTGTTTCAGGCTTTTTTTTTTTTTAATTTTTTTTTTAAGATTTTATTTATTTGTCAGATAGAAAGAGAGAGAGCACAAGCAGAGGGAGTGGCAGGCAGAGGGAGAGGCAGGCTCTGTGCTGAGCAAGGAGCCCGATGTGGGACTCGATCCCGGGACCCCGGGATCATGACCTGAGCCGAAGGCAGACACTTAACGACTGAGCCACCCAGGTGCCCCGTGTTTCAGCCTTTTAAGAAAGTAGTCTCACATTTAAAATTCATGTACACTTTGACCCACCAATTCCACTTCTGGAAAGCTAGCCCCATACAAATAAAAGTGCCATCATGTGATAGTGTATAATATGAGAAATTATGCCCATAAGTCCTTCTGCCACTGCTTTCCTCAGATTCTAAATCTTTGTATTGTTTTAGTGAATGGTCTGAATAAATCAGAGAGTGGTTTGTGGTTAGAAGAGACCTTTGAAATTATGTAGACCTGTGGTTCTCAAACTCTAATGTACAGTAGAATCACCTGATTAGCTTATTAAAGCGCAGATGCTGGTCCCCACCACCAGATTTTCTAATTCAGCAAGCCCGAGGTAGGGCCCTGGAATTTGCAGTTCTAACAATTCTTTGGTGATACTGACACTTCTGGTCTGAGCAGCACATTCTGAGAACCACTGGTTTAGACCAACTCATTCACTTTACAGATGAGTAAGCATGGGCAAATGTTAACTTTATCAAATCACTTGTTCAAAATCAGTTACTTAGTAGTAGGGGTGGGGCTAGCACGGGTTCTTAATCCATGGCTCTTTGGTGCCTGGCATATTAAATGGAATAAGAGAATATGATGTGGGGGCGCCTGGGTGGCTCAGTTGGTTTAGCGTGTGCCTTCAGCTCAGGTCATGATTTCAGGGTCCTGGGATTGAGCCCCATGAGCCCTGCATGGGGCTCCCTGCTCAGCAGGGAGTCTGCCTCTCTCTCTCTCTCCCTCTGCCCCTCCCCACCATTCGTGCACGCTCACTCTCTCTGAAATAAATAAAATCTTAAAAAAAGAAAGAATATGATGTGTACTTGATCTTTTAGTTAAGTATTAACGAACTGCAAACAGTTAAGCTTGTCTTTTCTCCCTACTTACAGCATATAAATTTCCTTTGAGGAAAAGAGAATTATTGCTATGTAGAAAGGACGAGACAAGGACTTGTGGTACATAATTATTCTTTGTATAGCAGTCATTCTATCCCAACTGGTTAGGGTAGAGCAGTGGTTCTCAACCCTATTAGACCCTGTGGCCTCTTTTTATTTTGTAGTGACTTTTTACTATCCTGAAATGAAATGCACAGATGTAACCTACTGAACATGAGTTCCCAAAAAAATATAATGCCCTAACTATAATATAAAGAAGTTAAAAGGAAATTAACCTATAGTAAAGAATATTTTTGATATGCACGTGTTCAGGCACAACTACACAAGAAACCAAAAGGTAGCAGTCAGATGCTTGCACCTATCCCATCAGTGTAAAAGCTACAGATGCAGACAAATACAGGTATGATGTTTTGGCAACTCAAATACTGGAGGGACTGTTGACATTAGTGTTGTGATTTTCTCAAATGGTGAAAACTTTTGGTAAAGTTCTTAACAAAACAAAATGCAGTACCTGGAATTGACTCAGTAATTGTATTTCTGGAAAATTCAATATATATGTGTACAGCTGTAAATAGGGCAAAGAGCTTTTTTGTTTACAAATATGGCAGACTTAGGTTCTAAGTTCAGATGACTGTAAACAGATTTTCATTTGTGTTAAAACGTTCACCAAGACATTTGAAAATTTTGCAAGACAAGATAATTCTGGATTTTGGAGGACTATCTCAGACATTGCAAGGCATCTAGTATCCCTCTTGGCTTCTCATTAAATGCCAGCCATGCCCCATAAATCTTTTCACAACTAAAATCCACAAATTTACAAAATACCCTGGGAACAGTATTGCCTCCTCTGAGAGGAGTTTTGTGGGCAAGTGCCATCATTCTCCTATATCACAGAACTTCTGCCAAGGTTTTAGTAACCAGTGAGATTAAGTATTCTCATTTAACTCATTTTTCTGTCACTGAAGCCTAGAGTTTACTAGCAAACTTTATCTTCTGTATAACTGCATTGTTTAGTGATAGTTATGATCTTTCTTTGTAGTTTTCTGCCTGGGAGGCAGAAGAAGGGAATTTGTTAACTCAGCCACTGTCCTAATTTTTTTCTACACGGTCCTAATTTGTGTTTTTCTTTCCTTCCCTTTATCTTCTAGGAGGAATGCAAGCCCAGGTTGGAATGCCAGGAAGTGGACCAGTGTCCATTGAACGGGGACAAGGTAAATAAATGTTAATATCTGATTAATGTGGACTGGACTCGGAAATGTTGTATTTATCTGCACTGTCTTAATATGGCAGCCACTAACCACTGGTTATTTGAACATTAAATTAATTGAAATTAGGTAGAACTTAAAATTCAATTTCTCATCACACTAGCCACATTCCAAGTGTTCGACGGCCACATGTGGTTATGGCACCACATACTGGATATGGCAGATATAGAATATTTCCCTCATTGCACAATATTCTGTTGGGGACAGCGCTAGTCTAGACTTTCCATCTAGTGACTCAGAGCCCAGCTCTACAAGAATCAAAGCAGATGGATCCTTTGTTTCTATTTAATTTATATCACCTTTTCATAATAGCCTAATGACACTGCTGACATGTTCTCTCTCACCCTTGTGGATATCTGTTGACTGAGTAAGGAGCTTTAATAATGAGCATGTAACATGTAGAAGCCTAAATCTAAACCACAGAGAAAACTGGGAGGGGATCAGAGGTCTGTGAAGCCTACTTGGTAAGGGTATGTTGTACTGTGGCAGTAACACTGGATACCACAGCAAGAGCCACTCCAGAATCTCCAAATTATTTCCCTCTGTTGCTGGAGTTTGAAGAAACAGAAAATGCAGTGGTTTGGTTGAAAACAACGTTAGGAGGAGAGAGAGTGAGAAAACAGAAGCAACTAACAGTAAAACTGAGGGCATACTATAGGCCAGGCACTGTAATTTTCATAGACAACTGTGTGAGTTAGGGGGCAGCACCTCAGTATTCAGATAAAGAAATGGAAGCTCAGAGTTTTAAGTTACTTATTCAAGGGCACATGGTAAGTAAATACTGCTGAGTAACGTGGACAGGACTTGGGGCACTCATCTCTTCCAGCTAGTAAGTGGCAGAGCAAGATTCTGAAGTCTCTGACTAAAATCTTCCTCTTTCTGAAAATCCACACCGCCTCTATTAACTTCCAGAAACACTCTTCAGTGTCTTCCATTCTTATTCATGTTGTCATCGTGATGAGAAAGAACTGCTTTGGGCAGCACAGAGAAACTTAAGTTACTTCTTCTTAGCATATGGCCTATAAGTGAAACCCATTTTTTAAAAGCAAAATATTAAGGTGGAGCCTGTGTACTATATTCCTCGTCTATGGTTTGTCCATTAGGGTTGGTTGCTGAAGTGACAGAACGGATCATCTGGTCAGATGGTTGACAGTGGGACAAGCTCTTGACCAAATGCCTCATCTAAGCAGCCTGTGCTTTTGTGCTGTTGTGCCCCCACGCCCTTGACCACTCTCAGTAGATGGTGTGTGCACCCACAGTATTTCTGCACTAGGGAGAAGGCATTGGGGTTCCAGTCATATTTTTCTTCTTCCCAAGCCATCAATCAGTCTTTCCAAACTTCAGCCGTTTAATATATATTTCCGCAAGACCTCTTTTTTCCCGCTATAGTTGTCTTCATCTCTCTGGGTCAAAAGTTAGCAAAGGGAAATGACTTGAGTTCTGAAGGTATATGAGGTGTGTCTTCTTGAAGAGATAAAGTGAGATGAGTTTCTTTTATAGTTTTTGTTCAGTATCCAGCAGAGGAAGCAAGAATCTTTCCACTTGTACCCAGTTTTCTTTCTTTTCCTGGAAGCCATACTTCTTATGCACCTTTGTAATGATAAAAGGAGACAGTGAGATTAGTTTAAGAAGACACTTCTTGCCTTCTGCCACCTCTGTGTAGTGTTGGTGCCCTTGTCATCTCATTAGTCTTTGTCTGCTGTTGTCATGGCGTTTGGTTATCACCGGGGACTCGTAGCAGCGGAGTATTTTTTGAGGAGTGATATTCTCTTTCTTTGTCTAAAGGTCATTCGCTGCATTTCCCGCAGAGATTTTTGTGCTTTAAAATACGGCAAAAAATCGTACGGTCCACTTCTGTTATGGGCCTCTTCAGAAAAATCTTGCCTTCCAGATTCAGTACAATCTCTTCCATGTTTTGCTTATGAAACTATGTTTATGTTCTTTGCCTAACTAGAGGTTTAGAACCATACTTTTTATGTTTTGTTTCTTTTCTTGTAATGGTATAAGGAGATTTAGGTGGACTCGTAGTAGCAGAGGTGAAAATGGAGAGTGGCTGAATAAAATCAGGGGCCCACCGGTTTCACCTTAGGAGGCAATCTCATTACAGCAGAAGAGTTTCAGATCCCAAAGAAGCTACTTATAGGAAGATTTTGTAGCCTGAGGCAGGCTCCTGAACTCTTGGCTTTTTAATTTACATGTGTAAATCTCCACCGTCTGTATGTGTATGATTCTGTGTGTGTGTGTGTGTGTGTGTACGTGCGTGCGTGTGCGTGCAAGCTATTTTAAGTGTCTGCTCTTTCTCCTTTTGAACTTACTGCTCACCTAGGAACCCTACAGCACTCGCCCGTGGGACCCGCCGGGCCTGCATCAATTGAGCGAGTTCAAGGTACCCATTGTATCTGCGGGTTTCCTTTTGCTTGTGGTGTTCAGGGTGGGACGTTGAGAGGACAAGGGCTGCTTGGCAGTCATCCTCACGTTCGGAACCCAAAAGGGTAGTGTTTTGGGCTTTTGTTTTTACATTTTTTCCTGTTGGGGCCACAAGCCTAAGATTGACCTCTTCACACAGGGCAGAGAACATGGATGATATGGGCATCTGTCCGAGGCTGTACTCCCTCCCTACTGGTGTCAGGAGGCTTGGATGGAATAGCAGTCTGTAAGGAGACAGCAGGTTCTTGCAGAGCCATGGCAGTGTTCACATATGCCAAGACCCTACCTCTCTTTTGTGACTCTGGTCCTTGAACTAAGATTGATTATAAGGAAAACCAGGAGCCTAAGTTTCTTCAGGTTGCAGTGCTAGTCCTTGGCAGGTTGCTCCCCACTTTGCTCTTTATATAATTCCATCCATACCTCTGACATGGCACAGATGCTGCCTACACCCTGCTTCTGTTCTTGAGCTGCAAGAGGAGTCTGCCGTGGTGAGGTTTCACCCGCTCTCAGGTGTCTGAATTATGTTGTCAGTGGTATATAGAGTCATTTCTTGTTTCCTTCTGTGTCCTTCACAACAGTAACTCCCTGTTTGTTTCCCTGTCAGTGCCGATGCAGGACCCCAGAGCCGCTATGCAGCGTGGGCCCTTGCCTGCCACCGTCCCAACTCCTCGAGGTCTATTGGGAGACGCTCCAAATGACCCGCGTGGAGGCACTTTACTTTCTGTAACTGGAGAGGTAGAGCCTAGGTAAGCGCTAACATAGAAGGAAAAGACTGCGGGGATCCGAACTTTCCCTTGGTCTGAGAACACTGTCGTTCTGTACCTGTTTGCCTACTTCAGCAAATAAATATTCATGGCCGCTGTCCGAGACTAAGGATGCACTTCTCCTTGGACAGAACTGTATCTGTTGAGTATGTCATTTTGAATGAACCATGGCTACCCGAGTCTTTAGAAATTGGAAATTCTAGCACATACCCAAACGGGAAAAACTTCTGTTGCTTCTCGGTAGTAGCAATAATGATAAGATGATGATGATTGATATGAATGGGGATTATGCCTCTGACTCTGCTGTGAGTACTTTACTTAGATCATCTCATTAAATCCACACAACAGCCCTGTGAGATTGGTACTAATACAGTCCTATTTTACAGATGAAGAAACCGAGGCATAGAGAAGTTAAGTAAATGTGCCCAAGATCACACAGCTAATAAGGGATAAAGCCTAGATTTGAACCTATAGAGTAATCCACGTTCTTAAGCACTGTACTACATACTCGTTCTATACAATGGATATCCATTACCTCCTCCTTAATTATGAGTGCCCCAAGCAAATATGAAATTCTAGAATACGTGCGTTTATATCTCCATAGCTTTTTTTTTTTCTTTTTGGACCTGTTTGATGTTTATTCTCTTAGCATTTATAGACTGATGTTTGCATCAGTTCTTTGATTTTTTTACTTACTGATCCTTCTGGTTGACTTTTTTTTGTTGTTTTGTTCTGTTTTAAAATGTAACATTTTTCTCCATCTCTAGAGGTTACCTGGGACCACCTCATCAGGGTCCACCCATGCACCATGTCCCGGGCCATGACAGCCGTGGCCCACCCCCACATGAGTTGAGGGGAGGGCCATTAGCTGAGCCCAGACCTCTAATGGCGGAGCCAAGAGGACCCATGCTAGATCAGAGGGGTCCACCCTTGGATGGCAGAGGTAAGGGGAGACCACGTCACAAGGCCGACTGGTAGTTGTGGGCTGATAATAAACCCAACTGTCTTAGGTTCTAATCTAGGATAAAGAAGGCTGGGGCAGTGGGATTGGCAAACATATTTAAGATTTATCTGCAGACCTGTAAAACTGGGAAGGAGAAAACGGTCTCGTGTACAGTTGACTGTTGAATAACACGTTTGAACTGCGCAGGTCCACTTACACATAGATTTTTTTTTATATAAATATAGTGCAGTACTGTAAGTGTATTTTCTCTTTCTTAACGATTTTCTTAATAACGTTCTCTTTTCTCTAGCTTACTTTATTGTAAGAATGCAGAACAATACACATAGCATACAAAACAGGTGTCATCAACTGTTTTATGTTTTTGGTAAGGCTTCCAGTCAGCAGTAGGCTACTAGTAGTTAAGTTTTGGGGGAGTGCTCCAATCCTCGCCTTGTTCAAGGGTCCCCTGTAGTTGGGGGGAGACGTGACTGGAGGAATAGATTTCTTTCTTTGATTATTGTTTCTTTTTGCAGTAAAGATGAGTAGCTACACAATGGTTTTCTTACAACTTACTTTACAGGCGGAAGAGATCCCCGAGGCATAGATGCACGGGGGATGGAGGCACGAGCCATGGAGGCTAGAGGATTAGATGCCAGAGGATTGGAGGCCCGTGCTATGGAAGCCCGTGCGATGGAGGCCCGTGCGATGGAGGCCCGCGCGATGGAGGCCCGTGCGATGGAGGCCCGTGCAATGGAAGTCAGAGGGATAGAGGCCAGAAGTATGGATACAAGGGGCCCGGTCCCTGGCCCTAGAGGCCCTATGCCTAGTGGAATCCAGGGTCCCAGTCCAATTAACATGGGCGCAGTTGGCCCCCAGGGATCCAGACAGGTATGTGCGATACTCACTTCTTGCTTCTACGTGAAATCGTGATCTATTCCGGAATTGACCGTTGAGCCTGACTGTGACTGCTTTCTGATTTGGGCTATTTCTCAGCTTGTTAGAACAGGAAGATTAGAAAACTCCCTTCTTCTAGTTTCTTTGTCCCTTAAGGTGGTTATTTTCTGGCCACCAGGATTGTAGCAACCTTGTCCCACAGTTTAAGGAGTTCTTCCATTCAGAGCAGAGCCCCTGCAGATTTAGGAGACAGAGTGTGTATCACTAGAATCTAGGCATGGATAATTTGAAAAACTTCCCCCAAGCGATTCTAACATACAACCGTAAGAACTGCATTAGAGCATGTGAAGAGCTATTAGCAGTCATTTCGATAATCTTAGGTTTGCCGAAACCTATTTTAGTTTACTTTCATCACGTAGCCTAAGTGAACAGTGGAATATGAAAGGCAGGTTTTACTAACGTTCACCTTAAAACCTATGGAACTGAATTCTTACCTCTTCTTTCTCCTTATTTGGCTCTCTCTAGCTAAGTGTATATGGCGATCTCTGATCGTCTATGTGTTGTCATCTCCTCCTTCTCCACACACAGTTGGTTGTGGGGAGATGGTATGTGTGTCTGTTCCCTGAATTTGTATGTGCTAGCACCTTCGTCTCCCTCTTGCCCCTCCTTCCTCTATGTACTTCTTCTCTCTTCCCTCTTCCATATGTTTATGTGTCTTGCTCCCCTGTGTGTGTATGTGTGTGTGAGACAGAGAGAGAGAGGGAGGGAGAGTGTCACTGGAATGGAACATGTCAGTCATCCAAATCTCTCATTTTATAGGTTTGGAAACTGAGATCCAAGAATTCAGGTGGCTTATCCAAATTCACACAGCTAAAAAGTGACAGAGCAAGGAGTAGAACCCCCTGTTTTTTTCAGTGTACTACTCAATCCTGTTATCTGCACATCATGTATTGTGTATGTGTGTGTCTACCTCCCCCTCTTTAATAGGAAATACGAATATGTTGTTTTCTGGTACGTGTAAAAGAAAACTGTTCTCCTTTTTTCAAATTGTGCTTTTTAAAAATGTGTCTGTGGGCCTTGATGTTTATTCTGCCCTCTAGGATCAGTAGCCTTATAATAGAAATGGTTTTTATTCATTTATTCAGTCATTCAGCAGATATTTATTGAGCACCTACTGTGTACCAGAGAGCGCTCTAGGTACTGAGGATATAGCAGTGTGAACAAAACAAAGTCCCTGCTCCCGTGGAGCTTGCATTCTAGCTGGGGAGACTGACAACAAGTAACTACATGATGTCGTTATATAATTCTGTCAGTAGTTTTGTGGAGAAAGACATTGAAAATAATGTTTGGAAGACCATTCTGGATAATGTGTTGCTGTTTTGTCTCTGCTAGTGCTTGAACTCATTACTCTGTAATATTAGGTTTATATAGTTTTCATTAGTAGATTGTATAAAGCCTATTGGATCTGAGTGGAAAAAAATAAAAATTTTATCTTCAAACTTTTTTTATATTGTTTAAATTAATATGTTTACTCATATATAAGTGAGATAGTGAGACCCTTGCTTCCTCCCCTGTATCCATCTCCCCTGTGACCCCCATCCCCTATAGATCATTGCTTTTATTCAATTTTGGATGTATCTTTCTAACAAAGAAGAAGATATTAGGAAGAAATGCATCTGTATTTCCTTTCTTTCACTGTTCTGTGCTTTGTTTTTTTTTTAACTTTACAGTATATCCCTAATTCATAATTTTAAATCAGATTTTAAAATTAACTCCAGTTCACCTAGTTGGAAATTTGTTAGTTAAAAGGCTTATTATTACTAGGGTGATTATATGACTTATCCAAACAGGGACATGTTTGGAGTGAGAGTGCTGTTAAATAGTTACTCTGGGGCAAAAGCATAAACTGGGACTTAGGCAGACCTTGGACGTGTGGTCACCTATATTGTGACTTGTCTGCCTAGAACATGTTGGCACTCCTGGAAACTTTATAAATGGCCGTTATTGAATGGTTAGCTCATGATAATAATACCTCAAATTAGTATTAACTGTGAAGCTTCCAAAACATTGTTCTCCTAGATGTTTCAGATCTGTAACGTAACATTAAGGTTCAGACCTGTCTCTGGATTCAGTATTGATAAAGAACAGAAAGTGATAATGAAGTGTATTATGCTTCCTTCCCTTCTTAAATAAGATAATGAAAAATGATTTTAACCATTTTTGATTACTCAAGGTCATCATTGAATGTGCCTATTATTGTATGTGCTATAATAGAAAGTACAGTTACCTCCTGTTTGGTTTCTGGTCTTCTTCACCATCAGGCTGTCGCCTGGCTCTTCACATTGCTGTCATGGTATCTGCTCCTAACAGTGTATCCACATTTCGTTTTGTGCTTTGCTGCTTCTGATCTACTGGGGAAGCAGGTAACTAAGTTTGTTCACAGTTTGTGTTTCATAAGAGTACCTAAACTCTCGGTGAATGCCTGAGTGTGAACATAACAACATAGGGACCTTTAACAGTTATTCTTGGTGCTCTGAGGCCTTTTCTTTGGGTTCTGGTGGTCTTCCCAAAGATCGAACTCACTGAAGATCTTAAATAAGTATGATATAACTGCATTTTGTTCTTTTAACTTGAGTCATTTTTTGGTCTGTATCTAGCAGAAAGCATCTGCTGCATATTCTCTCTGGAAAGTTATAAAAAGCAAATGTTGGGCTAATAGCAGTCTTTTTCCCAGAGGCCTTCCCATCTCCTTTCTGCCTCTGCCATAATGATCGTCTCTGCCTTACTTGTGGGATAGGGCCCTTTGGGGCGAACTGCCTATGTCTTATTGAACTAGAGGTAGGCGGTATCTCTGTGAATGAAGCTTCCCCAGTGGACCAGCATACATTATCTCTAGAATCTGCTGGCTTTCATTTCTGTTTCCACTGAGCACTAGTTTCTAGGATGTTCTCAGTTTTCTCTGTGCTTATGTGGCTGGATTTTGCTTGATTTGATGGTACTGTGTGATATTTGTTGATGATGCTAGAGCTGCTGTAAGCAAATGTGTCTAACTCGCTAGTTGATCTCTTGCTAAACCCTGCCTCCTGCCATTGCTAACAGTAGGAAATGATCTTCAGAGTCATTAATTTGCTTTTTTTTTTACTCATATCCATAATGAGATCATATCTTTCACATTGCTGTTACTGGATTCTGAATACTATATGAGAAGTTCTGAAAACTCTCCTCCTCCTCTCTCTTTGTGCACATAGGTCCCAGTCATGCAGGGAACAGGCATGCAAGGAGCGAGCATTCAGGGTGGAGGTCAGCCTGGGGGCTTTAGTCCTGGCCAGAACCAAGTTACCCCACAGGATCATGAGAAGGTAAGCAATACTGTCTGTCTCCAGAGGCATACATCTTTTGGATTCCTCTTTTCAGTTACGATGTGGAGGTCCTGGGTCTTTAGAGTTCATTTGGAAGTGATATTTACTCTTACAAGTTTTTATGATCTTGTTATCTGAATATCTGTGGGCCTGGTCTTAAAATTCTTAAATGGATGTATGTAAATGGCAGCTTATCTTACATTTCAGACTCATCAGCCAATAACAGTTTTTTGTGCTGATTGACCTGAAGCTCTAAGTCCCTTTTCTTCCCCTCCCCTTTCTGTTTTATCCCTAAAAACAATAGCAGATTCCCCATGAGTATATATGTTTCTATATTTGACCATCATGGGGAGCTCACGTCTGATGGAAAGACTAAAACTTGTGAAAAAGAGAGACTTTTAAAAGGGGATTAAAGGGGCGCCTGGGTGGCTCAGTCGGTTAAGTGGTTAAGCATCTGCCTTCGGCTCAGGTCATGATCTCAGGGTCCTGCTGGGATTGAGCCCCACCTCAGCTTCGGGCTCCCTGCTCAGTGAAGAGTCTGTTTCTCCCTCTGCCTCTGCCCCCCTCCCCCCACTCATGCTCTTGTGCATGCTCACGCTCTGTCTCTTTCTCTCAATTAAAGAAATAAAGTCTTTAAAACAGGATTACAAACTGAAGACTTCCCAAGGTCCACAGATATCATGTTAGTCTGCAAGAACTTTGGGTTCATGCAGGTGTCTGTTTGATTTGAGTCTCCTAATCTTAGGTATGATTGTACTTGAGCTTTTCATTGTGCCTTTTCTCACCAGCCGGTTTTGGTTTGATTTGGTTTGGGGTGGGGTTTTTTTGCCTGCACTATTCTATGTGTGAGGTATCCTTCCTTTTTGGACAGAAGCTGGTGGTGGTTTTTTAGCTGCCATCATTAAAACTCATTCCCTTTCTTTTCTCTTCACAGGCTGCTTTGATCATGCAGGTTCTTCAGCTGACTGCAGACCAGATTGCCATGCTGCCTCCTGAGCAAAGGCAGAGTATCCTGATCTTAAAGGAACAAATACAGAAATCCACTGGAGCACCTTGAAAGGTGAGCAGACTTAACCTGCCTAAGTCGAACAAACTCCTTGTGCATTTGGGGTATTAGATACTTTCAGCCTTAACCAACAACATTCTCCTGATCTAAAGACTATCCGAGGCCCACACTCCTCGTGGCTAGACTCTTCACCCTTCATTAGGTCAGCCTCTGTCAGGGTAGGGAAAGGCAACAGGGTATCTGTTCAGTTGTTGAGTTGGTTGTAATCTTTTTTAACCTTTCTTTCCTAATGGCAAAAGTAACGTGATCACTTTTACAAAATGAATCAAATACCAAAATGGAGAAAAGTCGGGGTAAGAAGCTCTGCTTCCTTAACCTCCTTCCCCAGACAACCTCTAAGTGTAGTTTATTGTGTATCCTTCCAGGATCAGTTGTGTTATTTTACTCCAGCTGTCCCATCAAAATGGAGAAAATACAAAGCATTTCAATAAAACGTGTAAATATTTTGGTTTCCAGTATTTATTTAATATTAACTATTTTGATGTTAAACTGTTAGAGCACATATTTCAGAGTAGTGACCGTCCACCATCACCATCCGTCCCTTTACGTTTTAGAGGTTGCTGTACACTGCTGCCCTTTCTTTTTCTTCCTTATCTGTCAGATAAAACGGATCATAATCATGGAACCATCTGATTCCATGTATTGGCATTTCTTTTAAAAACCATTTTGCCCAACATCTTGTATTTCATAAATAATTGTGTTCTTGGGGAGCCTGGGTGGCTCAGTCAGTTAAGCATCTGCCTTCAGCTCAGATCTTGATCTCAGGGTCCTGGGATCGAGCCCCGCGTCGGGCTACTTGCTCAGTGGGGAGCCTGCTTCTCCCCCTGCTTGTGCACACGCTCTCAATTCTCGCTGTCAAATAAATAAATAAATAATCTTTAAAAAAAATAAATAATTTTCTTTTTTCTTTAAAGATTCTTTTAGTTTTAAATAATCTCTGTACCCAACTTGGGACTCAGACTTACAATGCTGAGATCGAGTCGTATGCTCTACCAACTGAGCCAGCCAAGCACCCCAATAATTCTGTTTTCTAAAAACAGTTTAAAATTCACATTGTCCCAGTGTCAGCTGGAATATCACATTTTGAATTTCTACTTGTTACCCCATCTGTATTATAATCCCATTCATATATTATCATATAATAATGAACTCATTTACAGTACTTAGCAGTCTTTACCAAATATATTGTGTTTTAATCCATATTTGCAAAGTTACTAAAACATCTAAACTGGAAATATGCTTCATATCTGTATTTAGACTTTGTTTTCTTAATAATTTTACTTATTTATTTGACGGGGGGCGGGGAGAGCACGAGCAGGTGGAGCTGCAGGCAGAGGAAGAGGGAGAAGCAGGCTCCCTGCTGAGCAGGGAGCCCGAAGTGGGGCTCGATCCCAGGACCCTGGGAGCATGACCTGAGCCGAAGGCAGACGCTTAACTGACTGAGCCACCCAGGCATCCCTGTATTTAGACTTTAAATGACTGAACTATAATGAGAAGCTATCATAGATGGATAGCTAGCCAGACTTTTGGTATGACCACTACTTTACCTTTTTAGTCCAGATGCCCAAGGCCATTTTTTTTTAGTAAAAGTATAGACTATTATATTCAGAGGAATAGATTAAAAACTGTTCTCCTCTTTTACTTTTTCTAATTTATTTATGTCAGAGAAGGTATTCCCTACAATATGGGGAAATTACTCTTTTTAGATCGTGGAGACAGAAATGTTTCTGAAAGTTCTTTCATTACGTATTCTAGCTTATAAGATATTTCAAAGCCTTGCACATACACCACAGGGCAAAGGTTTTTGCTTGTTTTATATTTTATTTTGAAATAATTATAAATTCACAGAAGGTTGGAAAAATAGTACAAAGAGCCTCTTGTACCCTTCCCCCAACTTCCCCCAGTGATAACATCTTGAGAAGCTGTTGTGCAATACCTTTTTGGTTTGTAGTACAAAACCAAGAAACTGACACTGGTACATTACAGTTAGCTAGACTACAGACCTTATTCCATTTTTACCATTTTTTAAACCTACATTCAGTTTTCACCATTTCTTAAACCTACATTCATGTGAGTGAGATGTGCTGTGTGCATGTAGTTCTATACAGTTTTACGTGGGCAAGGTTTTAATGTGTATTTGCTGTTACCCGTGCATACTGTGGCCAAAATGTTGGCTCTCTGTCCATCCGGTACCTTGCTGGTTGTGATCCATTTCTGCTATCACTTGTGACAGGTCTCTCTACTATTACTGGTAGATCAGTGGTTTTCAACCAGAGGCAGTTTTGCTCCCTGTAGGACATTTGGAAATGTCTGGAGACATTTTTCATTGTCACAACTTTCGGGATATGGTATACTACTGGCATTCAGTGGGTAGAGACCAGAGATGCTTCTAAACATCCTATAATCGTAGGATATCTCCCCCCCGCCCCCCCGCATAACAAAGAGTTCTCTGTCTCCAAATGTCAGTAATGCTGAGGTTGAGAAACCCTGCTATAAGAGGTGATTACTTTGGGGATCCTGGAGGCAGACCCCTTAGGAATCTCTCCCTGGTGATTTGCTCTTTTGCATAGCCTCCCTCCCCCGCTTTGAAATTTTTTCTCCTGATGTTTGGGAAAGAGAACTTCGTCTCCATTTCTAATGGCTTTCTCCCAACTTTTCCTTACAGGTTTTCAAAAATACCTGGCAACAAATCGGGAAATTAATTCCATAACTTTGTTGAAATGTTGCAAAAAGATGACTTCTGCATCCTAACCCTTGAATGACTCAAATTGGTGCCAGGTGGAGGATTCCCATCACCTTCTCTCAGAACAAAATCAGTTCATTCTGTTGTCTTAGTTTGTATATTTTCTGTGACTTGAAATAAACTTTGAACACAATTTTAGTATACTGCAAATTGATATACACGACCTTTTTGCTTTTAAAAGGCTGAACACCAAGGGTGAAACCTTAGATGTGTTTTCAACCCTTACCGCAGTATTGTACTTTAATGTTATATTGCCATAGTTCTGTTTTTCCTTTAAGTTAACCACTTATTCTTCTTGGTGATATTTGAGAATTTCTCAGAAGCAATGTTTTCTGGAACTTAGTTTTTGCTTTGTTTGCTTCCAGCAGGAATAATAAGATTTGCCCTTTGAGAACTTGCTAGAACTTCTGAGTTTACGGGGAGAAAATAGCCCCTGCTTAGAGCTATTAAATGGTCAGAAGGCCAACAAAGCAAAGAGCCTAGCAGAGCAGTGTATTTAGTTTAGGAAAATCTAATGATCAAAATGCACTTTTTTTTATCAATAGCAGGTTTATTCACATGCATATTTCAGAGCTAAGACAAAAATGTTATATTGGCACTGGTTCAAGTGTGTCAGCAACACAGGAGACTGTTAACATTTACCTGTCTGTTCTAAACCTCTTCAGTCTTGGTAGTCAACCTTAAAAGTTAAAGAAGCCACTAACTTTTCACATGTTCAAGATGAAGTAAAAACTAAATAGAAATCAAAGGAACAAAATACATTTCATTCTGCCTTCTAGATAATCACTAACTTATAGCCTTCCCCCATAACCAAATTTATTTTGGGAAATTAAAACATAGAAAACCCTAAAACTTTTACATTCTTCTCATTTATTTTAAGAGGACCAAATGTAGATCACAAGCAGTCAGATTGCCCATTAGGCCTGCCCCTGCCTGCTTCCTTACAGATGGATGTGACAGTAATTAGTGCCACTCGCTCTGACCTATGGCTCCTCCTACCTAGTATTCTCTCTCTCATAGTGGCATTAAGGAGGAACATGATTTCTCTCCCATCAGGCCAACCTCAAGAGGTTAAGAGATGCCTTAATAATTAGTAAAGTTCCACTGGAACTATTCTTTGAACCTATTTATATTCTCAGAATCCTACCCTCTGGGTGAGGATTATGGTCAAGTGAATTAAAAGCCTGCCATAGGCTTAGAGAATGTAATAGCATATTGCTTACATGTCAAGCAAAAGAATGCAATGATAATCAACTTTATGAGAGACATTGAAATTGAGGGATTTTCTATTCTGATATATAAACGTTTACTACGACAAAAATTTGCTGAATAAGCTACTTCATATTACAACCTAGGAAGAAAAACGCTCAAAACAGCTGGGGAGCTTTCTGGGTCTCCTGCTCATCCCCAATTCAGGCTTGGATGTTGATTATACATAGGATTTATTATTATCATTACCTTTTCTGCCTACTTCCATGAATATTCTAGGCCTTAACATGTTGATTTTAGCAGTAGTCCTATCTCAAAGTATTGATATAGTTAGACATTGAAACCGAGAGTGAAGCCTTTCTCATTAGGAACTCATTATGTAAGTTTCAAGGAACACTAAGATTCCAGATCAAAATCAACGAAGATCAAATTATGTAGTCAGCAGTTGTCTAAGAGGAACCAAATCATCCAGGTTCCATTGTGCATTTTCCTAAAGCCTTATTAAATTTCATTTAGATTGTTGAAATCCAGGAAATCAGCAACAGCAGGGATATTCCAATCTGTTCCTACAGAAATATCCATTACTATTTTTTCTGATGTCCAATTAATAAATGAAACACAATTAGCTGCCGTGAGTTCATGACACCTTTGTTTTGTTCAGACTAGTTACTGAAAATGGATCTTACTAAAACTTCAAGTCATACAAATTTTTGGATAATTAGAAACAACCATCTGTTCATTTTTGGTCACTTAATGGTAGAGAAATAGGTGCTATAATGCTAATTTAGTAGAAACAGTCTTACAAATTTAATCAGTTGACTTGTCTTTGGGCACAATGAAATATGGGTTTTTTCCCCCTCTCTTTTAAGGGCCCCTCAGTCTTCTTCGCTTCTACTGATCACTGTGTCTACTAATATCCCAGAGCCAGGTGGATGGGAGAAATAAAAAGCATTTTGATAGGAGATAAGACATTTTGCTTATGTCATTAGGTGAATGATTCCTTAATAAATAGGGAAGAGCCGGAAAAATGGTATCAAAGTTTTAAATTATCTTTTTTAAAAAAGAAACGTTCGTAAACCACCTTAGTAAAAATGATGATAAAGAGCCCCTGTTGACTAAGTCATCTTAAGATGGAGTTCAAGTTTTTGCAATTATTTCCAACAGAACCATGTAAGCTAATGATAATATATCTGACTTTCAATTATAATTTCAATTATAATTAGCATCGTTTCAAGATTTTCTTTCCCAAATGGAGAACCTAGATTAAGTAATAAGATTCATTCATTAAGCAAAGAGGAAAATCCTTCATTTCTTGACAAGCAAAAATAAGTAAAGCAGAAATTGCTATTCACACTGGATAAGATCATGTTTTAAATAACAGTAAGAATGTACATAGTGTTATATAGGGATGGGGTTCTTGGTGATTTTATGTTCATTGTTTTATTATTTATGCTTATGATTATGTTTTGTCATTAATTCTTCAATAAATTTTTTATTTAAAAAAAATCACCCTATTTACAAATTTTCTTTGAAGGTGAGAGGGAGGGGAAAATATGACCGAAGGCTGGGAGATTCCAAGTAACACTTGGAATCAACAGTATCACCTGGGGTCAAGTCATGTAGCTGTCAACCACCTCGGCTCTCAGGCCTTGTTGCAGTCATGGCATTCCAGAAGGATTTACAGTTCTTTTCCCAAGAAAGGATCCATGCCTTTGCAATTATGGTGGCCTCGTGAAGATCAGTGACATCCAAGTTGAATCCAATCAAAAAAGAGAGGCCAGGGAGTCAGAGCCTGAGGCATGTTACTGTCCTTAAAGGGCTGCCCAAACCTGATCAGACTAAGTTGTTGGGAGATTCAGAGGAGAGACTAAAATGCAGAGTAGCATCCTCATTCCTGTAATTCAGAAGTTTTCCTTGTTGAAGTAGAATTGAACCTTCCTGGGATCCAGACTGGAGTATTGGTGACAGCGTTTGCTCAGGCTCTTTGCCAGGGTCTGAGGACCACATAGGAAGACTCCCACCACAGACCTGCAGGAATAGAACAATTGAAAGGGCTAGAATCCAGCGAAAGGGGCTATGTTGGTGAGGCTGGAGAAACTGCCTCTGCTAGGCCTCTACTACTCCCACAACCTTGCCTATTCAGGCATTCTGACTCCCTCACATTCTTCGCGGTAGTTTTCTCACCTTTTCTGCCCGCAAGCCCCCAACGTGCTCTCAGCCCTTGTCACACTCTCCGCGGTCACACTCTCCGCGGGCAGCCTTGCCTGTTCTGTTGAGAACAGAAACTCTGGAGACAACGGTGCAGGGTACAGGTGAAGTGCTAGACCCTGGAGCCCAGCTATCTGGGTTGGAATACCAGCTCTGACACTTACCCCAGCTGGGTGACTTCAGGCAAGTTTCTTTAACCTCTCTGTTTCAGGTTTCCCCCCCGTAAGACGAGGATCAAAATAGGCCCCACCTCACTGGGTTGTTTGGGGGTTTGAATGACAATGTATGTAAAGCAATTCGAAAAGTGCCTGGCACATAGCAAGTTAGAGCCATCCACTGTGCATCTACCCCACTCCAAAATTTCTCACACTGAAGAGGTGGTGAGCCTTCTTGCCAAGGATAATCTTTCTAACTGTTCTCTGGGTCTTTTCCTTGAGGCACCCCTCAAATCTACTTTTAAATCTCTAGATTTGCCTGTTCTGAACATTTCATATAAATGGAGTCATACAGGGGCTCCTGGGGGGCTCAGTCGTTAAGCGTCTGCCTTCGGCTCGGGTCGTGGTCCCAGGGTCCTGGGATCGAGCCCCGCATCGGGCTCCCTGCTCAGCGGGGAGCCTGCTTCTCTCTCTCCCACTCCCCCTGCTTGTGCTCTCTGGCGCTCTCTCTCTCTGTCAAATAAATAAATAAAATCTTTTAAAAAATGAAATAAAATAAATGGAGCCATACACTAGGTGGCCTTTGGGGTCTGGTTCTTGAACTTAACATGCTATTTTCAAGGTTCATCCATGTCATAGCGTGTGTCAGTACTTCATTCCTTTTTTTACAGCTGAATAAGATCCCACTGTGTGGATATACCATATGTTGTTTATCCCTTCATCTGTTGATGGATACTTGAGTTATTTCCACTTTTTGGCTATTCTGCATGCATTCATGTACAAGTTTTTGTGTGGAGAGCAAAGGCTGTTTTCAGTTCTCCTGGGTATATACTTAGGAGCGAAATTGCTGGGTCAGGTGGTAACTCTATGTTTATCATTCTGAGGAAATGCCAGAGTTTTCCCCAAGTGCCTCACTGTTCCACATTCCCACAAGCAATGTGGGAGGAACTCTCCTACAATTTCTCCACTTGTTCGCCAACTCTTATTGCCCATCTTTTTTTTTTTTTAAGATTTATTTATTGGGGCGCCTGGGTGGCTCAGTCGTTAAGCGTCTGCCTTTGGCTCAGGGCATGATCCCAGGGTCCTGGAATCGAGCCCCACATCGGGCTCCCTGCTCCGTGGGAAGCCTGCTTCTCCCTCTGCCACCCCCCCTGCTTGTGTTCCCTCTCTCGCTGTGTCTCTCTCTGTCAAATAAATAAATAAAATCTGTTGTAAAAAAAGATTTATTTATTTGTTTATTTATTTATTTATTTATTTGAGAGAGAGAGCTCAAGCAGGGTGAGGGGCAGAGGAAGAAGCAGAGTCCCCGCTGAGCAGGGAGCCCGATGTGGGGCTCGATCCCAGGACCCTGAAATCAAGACCTGAGCCGGAGACAGAAGCTTAACCAACTGACTGAGCCACCCAGGCACCCCTTATTGCCCATCTTTTATCATGGCCACCCTAGCCCTCTCCCCATTTTTGCATATTTACTTTATTCCTATCCATTGGCTCCTGTTCTGTCTATAAGTATGCTTAGATCATCGTTAAGTTAAATAAGCATTTTCTGGACCCTGCCACTCCTCCAGCATTGTTGACCACACTTCTCTAATATTTCCTCCCTTGGCTTCTGTGACACCATTTCTCCACATTCTCCTACTTCCTCCTTGGCTCATTTTTCTCCCTTCCCACACAATGTAAGCATTCCTCACTCTGTCCTCTGCCACCCTCTCTCCTGGCAATCTCATCCATTCTCACAACTTCAGCTATGGTCAGCTCAACACAATAATTAACATAATCTCTTTCGTTTAAATGCTGCTTTACTGTTTACACAGCATTTTTCATGTATGTATTGCTTAATGTTTACAACAATTCTGCAAGTGAGTAGAGAGGGCATTTACTAATATAACCCCCATTTCATAGATAAGAAATCGGAAGATCAGAGGACTTTCTAGCTCAAGGTCCCATAAATGGAAAGTGTCAGAACTAGCATTAGGACCCAGGATCATCTGAATCCGAGTGACTAAGTGTTCTCACCACTGCCTTCATGAAGCCTGCCCTGACCACCCCACGTGGGCATAGACTTTCCTTCCCTCCATGTCTACGTACTTGTTTCATAGAGTGCATCATTCTGTTTTGAGTTGACTGTATGCACCTCTTATTAAAATGTGTGCTCCTTGAGGGCAAGAACCATATTCTATTTCTCTTTCAACCTCCAAAACTTGTAGAATAGTGAGTGCTGAGCTTATAGAAGGTAACCAATAATGTCTGTGGAATTGAACTGATCTTCAGCTGCCAACTTGTTCCAGGAACTTATCTAATGATCAGCTCAATCTCCTTCCCCTTGAAATGGCTGATTTCATGGCACCAGATTTTCCTATATGCTCTAGCATATCTCAAAACTCTTCAGAAAGACAGAGGTCAGGTTATCAGTTAACTAGATAATACACTCTAAACCTTTCTTACTTTAAGTAGGGATTATTAAGGCCAAAAACAATGCATTTGAATTTTTCCAGTTTTCCATTTTATTTGGTAATACTGATCAGAACTGAGTCCCCTTGCCTCACTGTTTGAATGGGGAATATAGGGGCAGAAAACATCTCATCCATTACAAGGTCATAACCCTTATTTGGCTAAAACCCCGGATGAAATTTTGTTCAGCTTGGAGCGAGAATCTAAGAATGGTGCAAATAGTTTCTGCCCCAGAGATCTTTTTCCTAAGAGTGTTCAACATGCTGTAATAGCTTTCCTAAACCCTAACTCTGCAAACTCAACTAACTAGAGGAGAATACACTTACCTGGGGTGGGCATTAGCTATTGTAGAAAACTCATTGTCCCACATGGGTCTCCCAAAGGAGGTTTTCTGTTTCAGACCTGTCAGGATGTCAGTGGCCTTGTCAAAGTTTAATGCAGCGTGACCGGCCTGGATTCAAAGAAATAAAAGTTAGAAAAAGCAGGTCCTGACAGCTGTCTCTTCCTTCAGCCACTTTTAAACTTGGGGGTGGGGGTGAGGGCAGGTAAGAAATCATTATTTCCAATCAGCACGCACGACCTTGTCTGACAATGATCTTGCATCTAACATGGGAATTAGTGTTTCAATCAATTGTTTGAACTCACTATGTTGCTGTCCCATCCGGTGAGGAAGAGACGGTAGTTTAGAAAATCCACTTTGCCTAATTCCTCCATCTCACGTTCCAGAGAAGCCAACAGGTCATTGAACCAGGCAAAGGCACCTGTCTCCCTGCAGATCCAGTAGAAATAGATCTGGAACCAGCAAGAGAGAACACAGCCTTATTCAAGTGCCTTTAAGATGTCCATTGTGGTGACATGACTATTATATCTACTCTATATTTGTTGGTCAAGTCTACAGGTGACCTGAAAAATCAGTTGTACAGAGCAGCATGAACGTCCAGAGTTCTCACAACTTCCCTTAAGGAAAAAGACTTCCAACGTCATCTATGGTTCAAGGTGATTTTAAACTCCAAATTGAAAATGAAGACCCTGTTCCTATGATGAATCTTACAGAAATGGATACCTTGGCAGAGAGAAGAGATCACTCACTCTCATAGCTCCAGGGATCAGTTGTGAAGAGCTTAAGCCATGAAAGCAGTGGACCTGTCAGTCCCAGACCAGATGAAAAGAAGTATGAGGGAGTTACCGTTTGTGTTTTAAGGTTGTGATCTTCACGCTGAAATTTGTACCAGATGGATTTTAAGATGGAAGCAAAGGGGGTGACCCCAATTCCTGCTCCAACCAACACAGCCACTTCATATTGGAAGACATCTTCACTGACAGTGCCAAAGGGACCATCCACCTCAATCCTGGCAGCAGACAGAAGACAATGGGCAAGTAAAGTCTCACCTCCAGCCCCAACCTCAAACATCCCTCCCAGGACATAGCAGTTCCCATGGTTCGTGCAGTGCCTGTTTATCTTCATCATATTCGATTGCACCAGACTTAAGGTTCAACAAGGAATCGCTTTCTCTTTTCTGCCTGTCTGCCTCTGCTCTGGGTCTCGGCTGCTCTCAAGGACCCACCTGGGAATTGGTGACTGCTGCTGCTCAAAAGCCCTGATGAGATTTTCTGTCCAGTCCCCCGCCGCTCTGATATGAATAGAGAAGAAGTCTTCCTCTGGAGCAGAGGTCAGAGTAAAGGGATGCCACTCCAAATAAGAGATGGAGGGACAATTAACAAAAATATACTGTCCCACTTCCATGCTGAAGCCACGCTTGTTCATCTGCAATTCCAGAACTTTGGATGGGTGCATGACAACCTGCGAATGAAGCACAGAGGCCAAAGGAGGCAAACTCAAATGGTGATAAGGGGCAGGCAGATGAACTAAATCAGTAAAGCGGGAGGGCTGGCGATGGTGGTGAACTGCGAGCAGAAGTCCTTTCGAAAGGGGGCACCAGTGACTTTGCCCAGATGGTGGGTGCACTATGGAACCGCAACTCAGCGTTATCGGGTTGCCTGATTCTTCAGTAGAAGATAGAAGGGCCATTTTTCTTTTACTGTGAAAGCCTCCCTCTGGATGTTTAAATGTCAGCAACCAATTCAACTTTCCAAGCAATCAGTGTGCGGGCCAACCGAAGGATGTCTGTGGACTGGCCCAGGCCACCTGTTTGCAGCCTCTGACGAAGACCCATGCTGATGATTTCTGCCAAAACTTTTCCCCATAGTTCTGTCCAGCACTGGGGGAACTAAAGTATGTTGCCTCCAGCTCTTTTTTATTCCTTTCAGAGTGACAACATCACAATCTATTCCTATAATCAGGAAGAAAAGAACTCTTATGACAGCTAGAAGAAAGTGCATATTCTTTTTTAAAAAATATTTTTTAAGATTTATTTATTTATTTTAGTGGCGTAGGGGAGAGGGAGAGAGAGTCCTCAAGCAGACTTGGCCCTGAGTGTGGAGCCCGATGTAGGTCTCCATCCCACAACCCTGAGATCAGGACCTGAGCCAAAACCAGAAGTCGAATTTTTTTTTTTTTTTTAAGATTTTATCTATTTATTTGACAGAGAGAGACACAGCGAGAGAGGGAACACAAGCAGGGGGAGTGGGAGAGGGAGAAGCAGGCCTCCCGCGGAGCAGGGAGCCCGAT